AAAACCTACTACACGGTGTTGATGGGAGACTTCAACGCAAAACTGGGCACAAGAGAAAGCGGTGAGCTGAAGGTAGGGAAATTTGGAGTAGGGCAACGGAACCGAAGGGGCCAGCAGCTGGCCGACTTTATGGAGAAAGAGGGACTCTTTATGATGAACTCTTTCTTCCAGAAGCGGCCCCACAGGAAGTGGACCTGGTCGAGCCCCGACGGTTCGACAAAAAATGAGATTGACTTCATTATGACGACCAGACGCCAACTGTTCAGTGATGTCTCAGTGATCGCAAGGGTGAAAACTGGCAGCGATCACCGAATGGTTAGAGGCACACTGAACCTAAACGTTAAGTTGGAGAGGTCTCGTCTAATGAAGTCAACGCTCCGTCCCCCTCGTGCTCTAATCCAGAATCCCGAAACCTTTCAGCTCGAGTTACGTAACCGCTTCCAGTGCCTAGAAGATTGCAATGCAGTGGACGATATGAACGACAAGCTCGTGGAAACTGTCCATGCGGTCGGAGCTAAGTTCTGCAAGACCCGCCGCAGAAGAACACAAAAACTCTCCGATCACACTCTTAATCTCATGGCTGTTAGACGGGAGATGAGGCTGCAATCGTCAACAGATTTGACAGCATACAGGCAACTGAACAGACAGATCTCCAAATGCATACGGCGAGACTTACGCAACTTTAATACTTCTCGTATTAAAGAAGCGATCGAGCGGAACCAGGGCTCCAAAGTCTTTGCCAGAGATCTGTCTGCCAGAAAGAGCCAACTGTCAAGGCTGAAGACTGAGTGTGGCAACATCGTTTCCGGGACACCTGAGATTTTGAGTGAGATTGAGAGGTTCTATGGGCAGCTGTACACATCATCGTTGGAGCCACACGCAAGTGTGAGTAACGATCCAAGAACAAGTCTTATCCGACACTATTCCGATGATATCCCGGACGTCAGTCTAAGCGAGATTAGAATGGCTCTCCAGCACCTTAAAAACGGCAGGGCCCCAGGCGAGGATGGAATTACAGCGGAGCTTCTGAAAGCGGGTGGAACACCGGTACTTGAAGTCCTTCAGAAGCTCTTCAATTCCGTCCTCCATGGTGGCACTACTCCGGAGGCGTGGAGCAGAAGTGCGGTGGTCTTGTTCTTTAAGAAAGGCGACAACGCTCTCTTAAAGAACTACAGACCGATTTCCCTTCTGAGCCGCGTCTACGTGCTGTTTTCGAGAGTCATTACGAATCGTCTCGCACGCAGACTTGACGACTTCCAGCCTCCCGAACAAGCCGGTTTCCGAAAAGGCTTCAGTACCATAGACCACATACATACCCTGCGGCAGATTGTACAGAAGACTGAAGAGTACAATCTGCCACTTTGCCTGGCGTATGTGGACTATGAGAAAGCCTTTGATTCCGTCGAAATTTGGGCGGTGCTACAGTCCCTTCAGCGGTGCCAAGTTGACTGTCGGTATATCGAAGTGCTGAAGTGTTTGTACAGTAGGGCTACGATGGCTATCCGAGTACAGAACCAGAGCTCGAAACCTATCCAACTGCAGAGAGGTGTAAGACAGGGTGACGTTATATCCCCGAAACTCTTCACCGCTGCATTGGAAGACGTTTTCAAGCTACTCGACTGGAAAGGATACGGTATTGACATCAATGGCGAGTACATCACTCACCTTCGATTTGCCGACGATATAGTCCTTATGGCAGAATCGCTGGAGGACTTAAGCACTATGCTCAATGACCTCAATAGTGCCTCCCAACGGATAGGTCTTAAGATGAACATGGACAAAACAAAGATCATGTTCAATGTCCATGTCACACCTATGCCGGTAGTTGTTGGGAGCACTATGCTCGAAGTTGTTGACGAATACGTTTACCTGGGACAAATAGTCCGACTAGGTAAGTCCAACTTCGACCGAGAGGTCAATCGACGGATTCAACTCGGCTGGGCAGCGTTCGGGAAATTACGGCATATCTTTTCGTCAGGTATACCTCAATCTCTAAAAACTAGATTGTACAACCAGTGCGTGTTGCCAGTGATGACTTACGGATCTGAGACGTGGTCCTTCACTGCTGGCCGTATGAGGACGCTTAAGGTCGCTCAGCGAGCTATGGAGAGGGCTATGCTCGGAGTTTCTCTGCGTGATAGACTCAGAAATGAGGATATCCGCAGTAAAACCAGAGTGACCGACATAGCCCAACGGATTAGTAAGCTGAAGTGGCAATGGGCCGGCCATATAGCTCGAAGAACCGATAACCGATGGGGAAGAAAGGTTCTCGAGTGGCAGCCTCGTACCGGTAGGCGTAGTGTAGGGCGACCCCCCACTAGATGGAGTGACGACCTGGTAAGACATGCAGGAAGTCGATGGATGCAGGTGGCTCAGGACCGTGCTTTGTGGCATTACTTGGGGGAGGCCTATGTTCAGCAGTGGACTTGTGAAGGGCTGTAATGATGATGATGATGATGAGAAGGGATGGATAAACTGGCCTCAAAAAACTATGCGCGGAGAGTGATTTGAAGAATTGTTAGTATTAATTCAACTGAAAAAAAAAAAACTCAAGATCGCGAGGTCCACCACAGTGGGTTTTAATAGGAGTTTTCTTCCTCGCGGAACCTTTTTGTTGAATCGTTTACCAACCGACGATTTTTTGGACCAATACGACTTAGGAACCTTCAAGAAAAGAGCGTACTCCTTTCTAAAAGACCAGCAATGCACCTGCAATTCCCCTGGTTTTGCAGTTGTTCGTGGACGGCGGTAGTCATTTACCATCAGATAAGCCACATGCTCGTTTACCCCCTATACTATAAAAAAATTAAACATAATGTATGTATTTTGTAGCATTTAATACTAACCTATTAATTACTATTAACTACTATTATACAAATAACGGCAGGATTATGATGTCGAAATGATATATTGAAACGAAATAGAATAGCTGTAAATGTTTCTCTTCAAGTTCAATATTATGGGTCTTAAAACTATTATGGTATAATATTTGCAAGAACATTTAGATAATAAACCTTTTAAAACTAAATCTGAAATTTTTACGCAAATGTAAAGAAATTCTAATACTAGGCTGCACTAAAAGTATCGGGAATGGAATATTTCCACTGTTCCTGTCATATTAAAATCTTTTTAATCGAAAACTCCTTGGTTTTAAAAATCGAATACCATTTATTTATTTAAAGAAAGATTCCCGGTCTTGTCACAAGGTTTTGTCAAACTTGTTTAGTCGTTGAGAAAATGGAATAGACTCGAGAAAATTCAAGAGCGATGATTTTATTATGACTTTCTATATTGTTTAACACAAAAACAGTGTGTTGACTAGATGATTTCTACATTTGGTGATGAAGCCCATCCAAAACCACAATTTATCGCTGGTTTGCTGAATTTCAACGTGGACGTGTCAAGCTCAGTGATGATCCCCGTCAAGGTCGTCCAAAAACTGCAGTCACCCAAGAAAACGTTGATGCTGTGCGTAAGCTGATTGAGGAAGATAGACATGTGACATACCGCGAAATTTAGGCAACTTTAGACATTGGCATGAGTCAAATACCAATATCTTGCATGAACAATTAGGTCTAAAAAAGTTGTTTTCCCGATGGATACCGCATTCGCTCTGTGAAGACAAAAAGCAGCTCGCGTTACTTGGTGTGTCAGAACTCTCGAAAGATTCCATGCAGGATCCTCAAATGCTGTATACAACATCGTATCAGGTGACGAATCCTGGATATATGCTTACGAACCCGAAACAAAAAACCAGTCACGAATTTGGGTGTTCAAAAATGAGTTAAAGCCAACAAAAATTGTTCGTTCACGGAGTGTTGCAAAAAAAATGGTGGCCACGTTTGTCTCCAAAACCGGCCATGTTACGACTATTCCTCATGAGGGACAAAGAACGGTTAATGCAGAATGGTATGCTAGCATTTGTTTGCCACAGGTCGTTTCTGAACTTCGTAAAGAGAACTGCAACCGCCGCATCATCCTCCATCACGACAATGCGAGTTCTCACACCGCACACAGAACAAAAGAGATTTTAGAGCAAGAAAACATAGAATTATTAGACCATCCGCCGTACAGCCCCGACCTAAGCCCTAATGATTTCTATACTTTCCCCAAAATAAAGAATAAATTGCATGGACAGAGATTTTCATCACCTGAAGATGCTGTGGACGCCTACAAAACATTTTGGAGACCCCAACTTCCGAATGGAATGGTTGCTTCAATGATTGGTTCCATCATATAGAAAAATAATTTCGCGGAGAATATTCAAGCAATAAATACATTTTTAAATAGTAATGTTGTGTCACTTTCTTGATTCCCGAAATTTTCAGTGCCGCCTCGTAAATAGAATCAGGCGTTAAAATCTATAATATTTAAGAAGTTCAATTTACTTAGCTAAGATCTCCGTGAAAAATAAATATTATGTGACTTAGTTTGATGAGCGTCTCTCAATTGCTTGCAATACTACCGTCACCACTAATCCCGATACTTCTGCCTCCGACATCAAATCTAGGAAAGTCCCACCACTGACGATACTACAACACGGTATTCCGCCTTTAAATAAGGCGTTATCAAGAGAAATAGACTGCGATAGCTGACCGCTAAGTCTTAGCGTTCTTAGTTAGCGGATCTTCATCTTTATTGCAAAGAAATAATACATTTATTTTATGATCGTTTTTGATAATTAAGCCTTATAATAAATGTTAGGTGGATTACTTCCTTTCCATACATTTTAATAATAAATAATCTAGATAGAAGCACAAATAAAAAGAGAATCATCAAAATTGCTTCGTAATTGCTAAGATATCGCGAAACAAACATACAAAAAATAAACATATATATATAGACAAATTATATCTTGTAGGAAAGGCGTATTTTTTCAATAAATCTTATTTCGAGTTAATTAAAATAATGTAAATAAATTATGTAGATATAACATTCTATTAAAACTATACTTAACATCATTTACACATATGATTTACCATTGCCAACGTTAAAAGTACCTAATAAATTAGCGCCCTGATCTCTTGCGGCACCGGTCAGCGACTGCACGCGCTGCAGCAAAGATTCTCGAGACTTGGCTGGTGAAGATGGAGCGGAGGTGCCTCGAGAGCTTCCCTTCAAATTAAGGGAGAGATCGCCACCAGCTGGGTTGGGTGCAGGCGCCGGCACACCAGAAGCACTGCTGATGCTGCCACCAGTGACTGCATGGATAAAAGACTGATTAAATGTAAAATTCTCTCTATGGTAGGACTTATTTACCGCCTAGGAGCCGATCTGGGTAGGTGCCATTCTCTCACCTATCTGTCTGAAGGGAGAGCCCGTATAACAGGACTGTATCGGCTGCGAGGGATTCTATCTTAGTCCTCAGAGGCGACAGCGCACCTGTAGTCTTTATTTTTTGGAGTGTCAATGAACTGCTGTAGCTACTTACCAGTAAGTGAACACCAAGTTTATTAGTGACTTCAGTCTTTAAAAAAAGGTAAAATATGGTGTTATTATAGTAGAAACAGAATACAATATTTCTGACATAATCAGACATTTGGGCCAGAGGAAAAAGATGTTTCCTTCTTTCATTAGCTTTTTTATATATTGCATTTCGTCCATCTTTCCAAAGTAGTTTCAATTGTTATGGATAATTTCTAACTTTTAGTTCGGAATTTCAGTACATTCACAGTTGTGCAAACCTACAACATGCTAATACTGATTACATAATCTATAAGATTTAGCTTGCAGAATAAGATAAAATATTAAATTAAAAGTTAAAAAAAAAAGTTAAATTAGTCGTGTTTAGGCCATCTAGCGTCTATTTTACGTACCACCTTGAGAGTCAATCATTTTTTTTTTTTTGATAAAATACTTTACCTATAGAATGAAGTAGATTATTACAAAGCAATTTTAATCGAAAGAAAATACTTTTTAGATTTATTACACTAAAATTCAGACTCTACATGTCTAAAAATAAGGATTGTAACATATATTTGCTATAAAATTAAACTATACAACTAAAAAATATTGTAAATTCGAAAGTATCACCAAAACACACCACAGGTATATAGATTTACTCAAACATGTACCTTCTTGCAAATAAAGATTATTATTATTATTATATCTTATATTTTAAGTAGCAGTTGTGGTTGAAAATTATTATTAAATTAATAATTTGCCATGAAATAGGTATTTTTATTTTATATTTCACGTCATTTGAACGTTTCACTTCGCGTGAACTAGACATATATATTTTTTAGTTTTATTAAGTCATTCATAAGTCGTCTATCATATAACGTTCATGACAGAATAAATTTGTGCAACTCTGCAGAATACAATATACTTTCAATCTTTCTAAAAGTAAGCGTACAACTATAAAACAAAAAGAGTATCTATTTTGTTTATAAGTAATTGGATGTAACGATTAGACAAAGAGACGTTACCTTGTGAGACCGGCCTCTGATGCTGCGGCTTAGGCTGGCTGGTGGTGGCCGGCCGACCGGTGTACGGGTCCACCTCACCCTCATCGCACTCCGACTGCAGGTCCCCGGAGCTGAATCTGCGCAACGCGTCCACTGAGCTACTCGGCCACCGCGACACCGCGCCGCGCCGGGACAGGGACACGCACAAAGGGACCAAAATGACACGCACACAATGTAGCCACTCTTTACCGCCGTTATTTTAAATTGAGAGAATTATAAGCTTTTATAAATTCGTAAAATGCTAAGATGCGACTTTATTAGAAAAACATTATTATAACCATTGATTTCACGTTAGTAAAACAGTTTTGTTATTGCTACATCTACAAGGCTAAAGATCTTTTTTTCATATAATTATCAAAATAGCAAAATTCTCCCTTAATTATATAATAACTTTAAATTGAAAGATTAATGCGAAGGTTAATAAAAATTCAGCTTCATCGGTTAACTAATGTCGGAACAACAGGGGTAAATACATTAAAATGCAAATCGTATTGATAAAGTCCTCTTTCTGTGGAATCAATTCAAATGAACTTATTTTCTGCTTTTAGCCATTTAGTATTTCAAAAATGAGTTGAAATGAAACTCGTTGTCTTATGAGCTAATTTGCAACTTAACGTTAAAATATCATTATGATAACAGCCATACTTAATGACAACAATGATATTAAAAAGAATAAAGCGCCATGCACATAATAGTATTCGGCTGATCGGCTCTCATATATTTATTGAAGAATAATATCCGTGCGACCGGCGGGCGTGAATGTAAACATTTTATGTAAATAATAAAACAAATGAGTGGTGCTACACAGTATGTGAACAGCGGGTATCGAGGAATAGGATACAGGGTATTAAGTGCGGACAGGATCGTGGAAGCAGCGCAGTGAAGCTTCTTTAACTCGTTACGGTGTTTATTTAAAAAATTATTAACAATTAAACAAGTTTCACATATTTGTCAAATAACACTTAATTTTTTTTTTAAATTTCTTGTAAAAATATTTTTTTAAATGCACTAATTATTATGAAATCACAAAAACGTATATTAACATTAACACAAGTCCACGACTGAACTGAGGCCTTTTCTAATACATTTACCACGAAGTCCGGTCCTGAGATGTCTGAATAAATTTGCAGACTTTATTCACTAAGAAACAATTTATAAAATGTCTCATAAATTTTTAATTAGCATACTCAAGAAGATTTTATCAAAATTATATTAAAGCGTGCAAATATTGATAAAACTGAAATGAATAAAGTAAAGGTCATGGAAAATGAGTCAAACGTAAAATCAAAATATTCAAGCATTTATAAAATAGAAACACAAATTGTAATATAATAAACTACTTAAAATATAAGAATTTAGAATTAAATTATATAAATTTAAACATTTAGGACAATTGTATACAACGGCTTATACTATGTTTATATTAAATAATATGAATATACATATTTATATTTAAAAACACACATACCTTCTTTTCAAGTAATTGACATTTGAGGTAAATGAGTTTCGGAAACTTGAGAAAGACAGGGTTGAAGTGGTCGCGGCCTGCGGGCCACAGATTCCAGGGCACCCCGACCGATCTATTTTGACCGCCCCTAGTACGTTAAAACACATATAAATAATTTGTTTTTAATTTTTCTTTGTTTTTATGTGTGTTTTAATTAAGTTTTAATGTGATTCATACATATCGCATTTAAGTAACTTATTAAATTTACCAAACACAAAATTGCATATACGTGGGTATATCAGAAAATTTGTGAAACTAAAAACAAGTTTGATACTCTTCACCAAGTTTCATGCATTTTACCAATTTACGTGGTCCTTCACTGCTGGTCGTAGGAGGAAGCTCAAGGTCACTCAGTGAGCTGTGGAGAGGACTATACTCAAAGTTTCTAAATGGGGATATCCGCAGTAGAACCAGAGTGAACGACATGGTCCAACGGATTAATAAGCTGAAGTGGTAATGGGCCAGCCATATAGCTCGAAGAACCGACAACCGATGGGGAAAATATTATAATATCTAGTGGCAGCCTCGTACCGGTAGGCGACGCTTAGGGCGACCCCCACAAGATGGAGGGTCGACTTGGTAAAATGTGCAGGAAGTCGATGGATGCAGGTGGCTCAGGATGGTGTTTTTTGGCATTCCTTGTGGGAGTCCTATGTTCAGCATTGGACTTGTGAAGGGCTGTAATGGTGATGATAATAATGAACCTATTTTAGAAAAAATTTATCCAATCCGCTTCAGACATCTCCTCTACGGCCTGCTGAAACGCTGCTAATAGCGAACAAGATCTTCCGTGCGCTTCTCAGTCGCTGTATATAAATAGGCGTTGGATTGTTTCTTTTCTTCGATTCTTGATTGTATTGATGATTACAAGATCGCCCGCAATAATGTAGTAGAAACGTCGATATAAGCCTGTTTCAAATTAAATAATCAAGGCAGCACCCTTCCGTGCGAGGCTGCCCCTGAGCATCGGTGGGATTATGCGGCACCAAACGCAAAATTAACTATACCAATGATACTTTGATCATGAAATCTATAAGACAAGTTTTGATGAAAACTTGTATCAAAACTTGTTTGTAAACGAGGAGTTAGAAGATCTTTTATTTATAAATACCATTAGAAGTCCTTAAAAACATTATTTTTAGGCGACATTTGAAATCCACTTTTACATTCTATTTAACACGATTTTTCAATTCAGCTCTTTAAAAAGAGCGCTGAAAATTTTGTAATTGAAACTTTCGTATTTTTACGTCTTGAACATAATCGTATTTTCAGAATATTTTTTTTTGCAAAACTTCTACGTGGTCCATCGTAGACAACCCTAGTATATTCTAAGGACATATTTTGGTGACGTTATATAAAATCGCCATGCTTCAACTTGTCTTTTACGTGTCGTAAGCTTCGATCAATAATATACTTGATCGAAGGTCGTAAGAGTTATGCCACGGGAAATACCCGAACCGACATGGGAGTAAACATCAAAGATGTAAGGCATAGATGATACTACTATCGTCAATTTGCCTGCGAAGTAGGACCGTTAAGGTTGGGGGTTTTTGTTTAGCTATAAACCATGTTCATGATAATTAATAATTAAATATTATAAAAGCCATAATGCACTATTACCATATGAATAAAGAAATTTCTTTACTCATGTGATATTATTAACCGTTTTTATGTATTGTACTTGTACTTGCCTGAGGTATTTTACTCGCAAATGTTGCGGCGAGGAGCAATTGTGATAGAGTTTCAGTCTTCAAGAGGATTTCAGACGAAATGTTGAGATGGAACTACCTGCTTAAAGTAAAGCGCCTTTAATATTTATTACAATCGTAGATATTTATTTACACAATTAATTAAAAAACTAAATATAATTTTTATTTATATAGCCTATTTTAAGTGGAAGGAGCTAGCATTGGTCAGCTAGCCCTGGCCCAGAGATGAGGATAGTACTCCACGTGAGGCCGAACTTACGCCTTGTAAAGTTACAAGTGGTGTGCTGATATGAAATACTGTCCCGTTCTAAGCACGCTGAGGGAATCCCTTTCAGGTGACCGCGGAACAGAACATCATTTGGTAATATGTCAACGCCGAGAAGCAAAAGGGGATTTCCCTGAAATTAAGGTAATACGACAAAGGGTCGCAAAAGGCGACAAAGGGAAATGATCGGCAGCATCTTCCTGATAATATCTCTAAATTATAAGAAAACTGAACTGCAGTTACCAACCGGCCTGCTAACCGTGACAAATACGGCAATATCCCCCCCCCCTATGAATTAATCTATGTTCAGCAGTGGACTTTTATAGGCTGTAATGGACGAATGGATAGAATGGCTTCTGAAGCCGGCACTTTATTTCTTTCATGTGGAAATTGTTCTAGTTCTTTGAAGTCAACTTTTAGTTTTTATAAAATAAATATTTTATTTTACAAATTAAAATTCGGACGCGTTATGTTTCAAAACACAAAAAAAACTTAAATATTTCCGTCAGGCGCTGCGTGACAGGAAAGTTCAAGTAATAAATATGCGCTCGCAGCCTGTCGCAGTGAAATAGTCCGCCCTACGAGCCTGCCACCCGGCTACAACGTAGGGCGGACTTTCAAATGAAATTAGTTGCCTAAAAGTACATGTATTTAATAAAGTTACTAATTTGTTTTTATTAGATGCAACGCTTTATATTTTTATAGCTGAAATATTCGTGATTTCTTTTTGTTTTTTAGATACAATTTTTATATCATTAACAAACTTGGTCTCAGATTATTTTGTGTTTTTGGTGTTGTGGTGATAACAATTTCACTTTAATATATAGATTGAGATGCATCGATATTTCAATCGATTAGCACTCCAATGTTTGCAGATCAGTAAACTTTATTCATGTTTCAATGTTTCAATCCCAAAAGTAAGTTAAGTAGGATAGCCTCAACAATATTATCTAAGCTTATACTTCATTATTATTCCCGCAGTTACAGCTTTATGGACATTTATAAGAGAGATGACTGGCATGATCTCAGGAGGGTAGCAAAACTATATGTGACATTCATGGAAATTTAAGTAGTATTTTATATCCTAAGTATCTACTTCTTTTAAAACTAAAAGAATTTAGATAAGGGGCACAAATGTAAACTATCAAAAACAATTTAATATTTATGGCTAATACAGGAGGTTATTGGAAAACTTTAGCAGTAACTGTAATGATAATGATGACTGACAAAGTGAAAAGCTATTAAAGTAATATTTAATAATTTCTGCAACCCATAAATATATATTACAACAATAAACAACATAGTGTTATCTATATTTTATAACAGAAGAAGCTGAGCTACATCATAAATGTGCGCTTCGCTCAATGCCTTCTTGACCCAAAACGTGACATTTTATATAAGCAGATACATATAGTATATTATTTGCGGGTATCAAAGAACTGATAGTGATACTTGTTAGAGCGATAAGCCTTTATTCTTCTACAAAGTGTATGAAGCTTACATTTCTATTTTTGTGATTGTAATATACTTTATTCTAAACAACAATATCTCACTTCATTAAATAGTGTCATTGTTTCCCCAAATATAATCATTTCTAATTTTATATTTGATTGTACATAATGACTGAATAATTGACAGTACATTGTTGAATGTTTAGTAAATTCAGTGGTCATAGGTGGTGGAAGTAGAGTACAGTAAAACTAACGACACACTGAAAATATTTAAAAAGTTATTTTATCGTTAATTAAAATATAATTTAAATGCTATAAATTGATATTTAAAAATATAAATTTTTATAATCGGCACTTAAACTGACGAGCATTTAAAGGTTTTCATGAATTATCTCATTTTTCTTTATTAGTTCAATAGTTTGTATTTATTTGTACCTAATTTAGACTATAAATAAGTAAAATACAGGAAGTAAATAGTATTAATTTTATTGTAAATTATTTATTTGTGACTATATTTATACATTAGATAATGGGCCATTTAGTTTTTCAAATAACTGTATAATTGTTAGTCGTCCTCAAATTATTAATAAATGAAAAAAAAATTAATAAAAAAATAAAAAGAATAATAATGTCAACAACGTATTTCAGATACATTTGCGTTATGGCCTACATTCAGACAACTGTCTACGGTTATTGACCGTTACGCAACCGCCTTCGGAGATTTTTTCATAACAGGACTATCAAAATCCGTCCACACGTTAACTTTTATCCCTTTATTTTATACGAAGCTACCAAATTGCGTTTTCACAAACTAAATCGATTGATACTTTCATTAGGTTACAATCGATCAGAATGTTGATTAAAATATTGGTGTAACAATTTAAACAAGACAAAGTAAGAATTTATATTTAATCGAAATACCGAAGAAACCGTTTACTATTTTAAATTTCCAATGAACTAATAACAAATAATTTTTCTTTAATGTTTTCATAGAAATGCAAACTATATTAAAATAAATAATATTATGGTAAAAGAAATAAAGATAACGGCGAACCAATTACAAAAGATTTGAATTTTCCTTATAACTTTTCCACCGTGATGTTTTTAATTAATTTAAAAAATTTAACATTACCTTTATATTTAGGTACATTTAAGTACCTAAATATAAACGTAATGTTAAAATTTTTAAATGTATAAATATTAAAGTTTTTCAAAATAATTTCTGTTTTAAAACATATTATAGAAGTTAATACTAAATGTCTATTTAAAAAAAAACCACATAAATTATTTAATAGGGCAGACAACTCTCTTGATGACAAATATTTCTCGAAAACTGTCTCATTGGACATCAGCCAAGTTTATACGATGATTTAGTTACGCAAGAATCGATCCTGAGACTGTGTTCTGTATTGGGTAATTATATTATTAAATTAAATGTAATTAGATTTTACAAATATCATAAATTGATTAATGCAAAGTTCGCGTGTTATATTTTGCCATTCATCATTTTCCAGGCGTTCTTATGAAATAAAGCGTCAGCTTCAGGCTTAAAAAGCCATAACATTAAAAATACATTGATTAGGTCAATTTATTATCGAAAGATCGATTAATTAGTATTTTTAAAACACATGTTGTATCAATGGTATCAATTCATAATGTGATT